GAAAGGATGGGGGAAATGCCAGTGTGAGCATGGGAACCGAGAACAGGACTGTGCCCTGAAGGACTTGGAGGGGCAGCAAGGAGAGGACCACGGACGGCCAGAGGACCAGGTCCCCCTCAGTGACACAGGCACAAGGGGTGGGGGTTTCCAGAAGTCGTTGTGAGAGAAAGAGAGCAAGCAATCCACCACCGAGAGGGGGCCAGCACACTCACGGGCCGGGTACAGGTTTTAAATGACTGCCCGCTCCAGACGTCCTCTCAAATGAAATGGACAGTCTGGACTATTGAGGACAATGTTGATGATCGGACCCGTAGAGCCCTGTCTGATTTGTAAGTAAAAGTGGCTTTTAAAAAATAAAATGAAATGAAAACAGACCTCCATGGAGCTGCCTGTTTTTTTCCAGGTCCCACCGTTTTCTGCCTTTGAACGGGGCCATCACTGTCCCTGACCGGTGGGTTAGCGTGTTCACCCAGGTTGAGCAGGGCTTGGCGTGGACCCAGCAGAGACCTGGGGAAATGCCATGGGAGGGGTGGCTGGTGTGAGAAGGTTGGAGGGTGGAGGCATGTCTGACCCCTGCCTTGTGGCCTTGAGAACCAGAGATGGTCAGATGTTTCTTCTCTAAGTTTGAAACGCCTCCAAATAGCTAAATGAGACAATACTAAGACTTCAGTGTAATCTCTTTTTTTGTTTTTAAGTTCACAGGGCAATTGAATCACCACTCTGTCTAAATGAACTTTGCTGTTGTCTTTTAGACCTGGACCTCCGTTCTGTGCCTGTCCCTTGTCTTTCCTCCTTGGTTAGCATGACCCAGGCGTCCGGTTTCCCACCGGAGGAATGTTTGCCGTCCCAGCAGTTAAATGAAGTTCGTCCTGGGCGGCTGGCTGAAGAGAGAAACAGAGGGGGTCCCTGGGGTGGGGGTGGGGGGTACTGTGTTTCTGTTCACCCTCGTCACATGCCCTGCTCTACGGAGGCTTAGTTAAGGCAAGCAACGAGTTAAATAAACCTCACCCTGGCTTGGAGTCAGAATGGAATGCTGCAGCCACTATCTTTGAATAATGTCTGCAGAGTAGTCAAAGCAACTCCCCCCTGGGTTGGGTGGGGGCAGAACAAAATACCGGTCTGCATCCATTTTGGCAGGCCAGCAGAAAGGAGGGGACTCTATCTACGGGTGCCTACATTATTTCAGGCTCCGGGCTGACTGAGTACCCCTAACCACACAGCGGAATTTCTGTAGGGGCACCTGCCTCTCATGCCAGATTTCAAATGACCGCAGGGCCAGCACAAAAAACGTAATCAGCTTCAATTCCCAGATCCTAGAGCAGTGGTTCTCAACCTTCTTCATGCCGCGACCCTTTAAGGCAGTTCCTCATGTGGTGGTGAGGCCCCCCAACCATAAAATTGTTTTCGTTGCTACTTCATCATGGTCAATTTGCTACTGTTATGAATCGGGCGACCCCCGTGAAAGGGTCGTTCGACCCCCAAGGGGTCGCAACCCACAGGTTGAGAACCGCGGTGCTAGAACATAGCTTCACAGCCAGCAGAAACACCACCGTGCATTGCAGTAAATTACTCCAGAGGGCCAACGTCAACTTCTGAGGGCGTCCTCCCTGCACCGTGTGTGTTGTTAGTTGCTGTCCCGTTGATTTGGGTACAGGGAGGCCTTACGCGAGCAGGCCACCACCCATCGGAAGCAGATCACCAGAGCGCCCCTCCCAGACACCCAGGGCGCGCTCGAGCGGGCAGCCTTTCAGCTAGTGTTGGAGCATTTCACTGTTCCCTCGGCCGGGGAGATTGCTAGAACTTTCGTTGCTTTTTGGTTTCACCACCAATCCCATTAGTTTGCACTCCCACCTCTCCCCACCCCCGCCCATCCCCCCCTAGGAGTTGCCTTCAGCAGAGTCTTGGCCCATTTTTCTTCGGGACCATTTGTCTTTCTCTGATCATCCCATAGTCAGAGGGGTTTTCTGTATTCTGAATGCAAACCGAGCAGGGCATCTGTTATCATACCCAAAATTATTTGTTAACATAAGCAGTCTTATCGATCTGTTCCTTTGGGTTGGGGCTTTTCCTATCTTGTGACATCCACACCTGGGTGGCAGAAACAGTTCATAGGAACTGAACAGTGGAGGGTTCATGGCTACCCTAGAGGTGTCTTAGATTTCCCTAAACTGGACATTGAAAAACCCACGGAGCACGGGTCAGTTCTGACACACGGGAGGGTCCCTCTGAGCCCACAGCAACTCGATGGCAACTGGTAGAGATCATCTATTGCAAACTAACTTCTCTGAGGATCCAAGTTCATCCTCCAACTTCAGCTATAGCTTGATGCCTGCTGCTTACGTTCTGTCGGCGGATACTTAAATGGGAGTCCCTTTGAGCCTCGCTTTTGTCGGAAGCCCCAAGACAATGTTAACTGCAGCCACATACGAAAGGATGATGCTAGGTGACCTGGTAGAGCCACCTGAGACCTGCAGAGCTAGCTAGTGCCCAGCTGTCCTTGAAAAGCATCCCATTGGAAGGCTCGGGGTGGAGTGGAGGAAAAGTGTGGAGCAAAACTCAAGACCATGAAAGGGACCAAAGGGACCAGCTTACTGGTCCGAGCCAGGCTATGGCCCAGTCACCCTTCTGGTCTGGAAATGAACTCACCCGTGATCGAATAATCAACCATTTAAGATCAAAAGGGGCAGCATATCTTGTGAAAAATCAGGGGGGAGGCGGGAGGAGACAGCATTTACTCGATGACAAGGTTCAGATGGTTGGGAGAGGAGGAGGAACAGGCACCACGGGGAGAAAAGAGACTACGTGACCGGGCCCTGCAGGGGACGAAGTGGATCAAAATGTGTATGACCAGGGCTGACGGTGCCCTTTGTAGAGCCGTACCTAAATCACGACCTCAGTCAAACCAAACTCACTGCCATCAAGTCGCTGCTGACTCACGGCGACTCAACAGGACAGAAGCTTCAAAAAGAGTGCGGGTAAATTCCTTTACCTCTTCACTCCTTTTGTCCACAACTTTTTGAAGTCCCCCTATACTTGGCATCTGCCGCTGGCATATAGCTTTAAGTTGATGTTCAAGGCATCTTACAATGACAGCCTAAGGTCTAAGGAAGTGCTTGACGAAGCAAGGAGGACTGTTGGGAGATGCAGAGGGCTCTCTCAGCAGAAGACTGCCTGCCGAGAGCTTAGAGAGGAGGCATTAGGACCACTTTGCATGGGCACCTTCAGTCTCCAGTGCCCGTCGTTACCCAGTCTCCTGGCCCATTATGGCGAGATCGATCAGGCCAATCCATTTAGAAGTGAGCCCAACCAATCTGAGAGGAGCTACTAGCTCATCCACTAAGTGCCAGAGAGCTGTAAATGCTAGGCCTTTGAAGAACGAAACTGCTATCAATCCCCATTCGATTCTGATGGTCTATTAGGGATTCTGTAAAACCGCCCCAATGACCCTGAATGAACTTTGTAATGTCTGAGCATGAAAGCACACAGCTCAGTCCTTCTGCCCAGCAGAATCTTTTCAAGCGAACACTCAACCCTCTCATGTCAACATTTGTGAGTCTGGGCCCACGTCCGGGCATACTGAGCCAAGGCAGGGTGTGAACGCAGCTCTCACAGGCGTGCATGTGACTAATGGATTCTTCCATGGCTCTTTCTATGTGTATGTGGGTGTCTCTGATTGTCTCAGTCTTACTATCATGGGTGGGGTGGGCTTTCACTGAAGAAGCACTAGAGGAGACACCCTTCTTGCGACCGGAATAGTCTAACAAAGGCTCAACAGAAGCCAAAGAGGGAGGATGCCATACTGGAAAGCCTGACTGCAGGAAGAAAATTCCACCACTTGGAACTTGAAAATGTACAGGCTGGGAATCTCCCGTTTGGGTCACAAAAACACAGTAAGAATTAGAAGTCACTTCAACTTCTTAGTAGTATGAAAACTACATTTAATGAACACGTTCTACTCAATATATATGCCCTTGGACAATACACGCCACCAGGGCAGGTCCCACGTCCGGTTTGCTGAACACTCCACAGGGCGCTCTGCTGGCATGGTGGTTATGCACTGGGCCGGCAATGACCAGCCAGCTCCCAGGGAGAAAGTCGAGGCTTTCTACTCCCATTAAGATTTACAGTCTCAGAGCTCACAGAAGCAGTCCGATCCTGGCCTATAGGATCACTATGGGTCAACACAGACTCGATGGCTTAGTCCCTGGCTATGGTAGGTTCTCAATGCATATTTACTGGATAGACTGTAAAGTCCCAACTAATTTTCATAACAACCCTGTAAGATGTTATCAACATTTTACAGATGAAAATGTGAAGGTTCATATCCTACAGAAGTGTCCAAAACATGCTTCACTCCAATTCAACTCCCTGCTGAGAATCTGCCTTCCAAGCCCTGACAGGAGGCACCCAAGCGGTGCTGTGGGCTAGGTGTTGGGCTGCCAACTGCAAGGTTGGTGGTTCAAGCCCACCAGCCATGCCAAGTGAGACAGATGAGGCTGTCTACTCCCATTAAGGTTCACAGTGCTAGAAATCCTATTTGGGGTCCACTTGATGGCAGTGGGTTTCCTTAGTTTCCTAGAGCTACAGAGTTGGACTCTGAATGTCAGAGGTGAGTCATGTCAAACTGTAGACTGATTCAGGGTCCTGGGATGGAGAGGCACATTCTCAGCAAAGGGTCAAGCCAGAATAAATCCTTTCAGTCTTGATGTACGGGCACCAGCCAATGCCAGCACTAATCCTCAAACCACACATACTGGACACCAAACTTCATGGTGCCCGGTTAGGAGGGGCTTCGAAAAGCTCGTGGGAAATAGAATAGCGAGATCATGGAAATGTCCCACAAACTTCGGGAAGTCACCATAAACAACACGCCGGGATTACTAATAGAGACCAGGCCTGGGGCATTTGCAAGGCACACTTCAGATCCCTGTGTGCACTGCCCTGAGCCCATCATCGCCTGCAGCCTTCTACAGCGACTGAACAGAAAAGAAGAGACTTACCCACGAATCCTTCTTCCCCAACCAGCTTCAGGGCGATTTTGTCAGCCAGCACTGAGGAGTTGCCATGTGCAATATTGGCAAAGGGGCCGGCGTGCACAAATACCGGTGTGCCCTAGGGAAGCAGGAGAGGAAGTTAAAGTCCCAACAGCCACACAGCCAACACCACCCAGGATCAAGCTGGGGTCAAGCAGGCAGGGCAGACGGTCCAGGGTACTGATCTCGCATTAATGTCTCTGGCAGGACATTATATCTCTCACTGATGGAGCATATGTAATGCACATAATCCCAACGATTAAAACAGCCTGCATGGGCTCAGAAAACCCCTAGGCATTTGAGAATGATATTGTTCTCTATTTAAGACTGAACTTGGAAGAACAGAGTCGATTATAACTACAATTTTGATAAGCCACTGCTATCACTAAACCAAAAAACCCCACAGCCATCAAGTGGATGCCAACTTATAGGAGCCATTCTTTTTTTATTATTTTTTTCAAATCATTTTATTAGGGGCTCATACAACTCTTATCACAATCCATACACACATCAATTGTGTAAAGC